CGTGTGCGAAAACATAGCCGGCGGGCTCTGGATATTTAGGGGTTCGATTGGGCTAAGGATTGGGCCTCTGGTTACCTCACTCACACGGCGAAACAGAACGATGTGGTTGGTTCACGCCAGATTACAGTGAGGCCGTAATATCAGTACGGTTGAGGTGTCCCCCTTTGTTCTTCTACAGTTAAATGAATTTTGAATTACATAGGTACTTTACTTGCACTATTGACTGATAGCTATGTATATGCTAAATGCAAATTAAACCAGTTGTTGATAAATATTAATGTTTATTCATGTTGCGCCACGCCTCTCACAAAAGTATATTATTCTAAAAACTAGAATGTTTTCAAATTTAAACTAGTAAAACTAGAAATTTTTTTTTAAATGAAGTGTTTTGTTTAATGTTCACCTTGTCTTACACGTGGACTTCATGGGCATCCTCCTCCTCGCGTCGGTTTCCTTAATACTGAGGATCGTGACCACCTCGTGGAAGCAGTGCGTATTACTCTCTGCCATCTATTTCTATCTGCAGCCGAGTGGAAAGCATCGTTGATTGTAGTGTTCAAACTCTGTTTACTAAGTAAACTTAGTTTACTAGGTTGTGAGCAGTCTAAGGCAGTCATTACCCCTCTTTCAATTCCATCATCAGACCAGGTCGATTTAAATACACTGTAGACTGTAGGTCATCTAATGACCCGCTCCTTTGCATTCTTTGTCCTCAGGAATAATCAAATGTATAGTAATGTATAATAAAATGTATATAATCACTAAGAAGAAGAAGTATGTACCTATATATAAAATTAAATTATTGTGTTCAACGAATAGAATTGTGATCACACACAATCCTGAGACGTTTAAGTGACAGTGAACCCGATAAAAGAATGTAAACTTATTATTTTTGGTAAATAAATAAAAGCCCGTAAAAAAAGTATGTAATTCCAATACTAAGATATAGTCAAAGTCAAAGTCAAACCAAATAGACGGCTTTGAGTATTTTTAAGGCCAAACACAATAAAAACAATCTCAAAAAGTTCAACGTGGTGTCTCAGTTTGTCAGTCTGTCCTCTAGTGAAGCTTTTTGCTCGTTCCAAAGTGTAGTATTACAGATCAGCATATAACTGCGTAGTAAAATTAACATCTACATTGACAAAACTAAATACCTACCTACAACGAGAACAATAATCATTGTACAACAAAATATCTTCTTCATTCTTCATTAACATTGAGCTGTTTAGCAAAAAAACCTTTTATTTCATCTACTTAGCAATGCCAAGCACGGCCAACCGAACCACGTCTAATGTGCCAAGGTTGCTATCTTGCCATAACATTACAATTTACAATTACAATATAACAATTAGGTATTTGTCTCTTTTTCAGATGTTATTGACTCTAAAACTATTGTCAATTAGCCTTGTGGACGATGAAGATTCTATTATTACTACCGCAACAAAAAAGAGTTTCTACTCATAATAATAATTGTCTGCTTAAAATAATTATTTATACTGACATTATAAAGAGGTAAAATTTGTAAGTTTGTATATATGGAACCACTGGTGGGATTAATTATTATGTTTTCGGCTTACTCATGTAATGAGATGTCACACGCGTCGCGTGTCGCGGAATGCTGTTCATGAATATGGGCCTCTAGCATGGCTTGAAACTAGTCGAGTATCTCGTCAAACAATTACGTGAGTAAGCCGAAAACATAATAATTAATTTAAAATATCTCATGAAAGTTATAATATAAACACTGGTAGGATTCCCAAAATTCTTACACTTATTGATATCTACAATGTTCCCGAGTGCATCACGCTACAATCAAATGGAAACGAGCAGTGAGTGAAACCGCACGGGAGTAGCTAGTCAATCATAAACATTAATAGCTCGATTTTAAAATGTAAGGTTCACCTTTTTTTGTAAGGAGGGAAAATCAGCAAATGATTTCTCTGAAATGAAATGGAGTGCCAGACTCTTACTGACTAAAAACTACCACTTTCCGTTTCCTCCTTGGTGGTGTATTGGCTCATTAAGGCGCGGAACGCTACGCACTGTACGCTCGTGTTTTGTTCTGGTCAGGTGGCGAGAGCTCTGTTGGGCCTATAGCTGTCAAGGTGACCTGGCTTTTCCGATTTAGACGCCACTCACCTACGGGAAGGAACATTTGATAAAAAATAAGGATTTGTATTTTCTAAATGTATTAATCTAAATGTATTAAATTCACAACACCAAATGTTAAACAGATAAAAACCAGTGTGCTTGTCAAGGGCGAGGAGTTGAGTCCTGTAGATACAACTGTCTTTTTAGGTATAACCCTGGACGCTAAGCTCCAGTGGGGCCCTCATATAGATGGCTTGTCGAAGAAGCTCAGTTCTGCAGCATATGCCGTTAAAAAAATTAGAAATTTAACAGATGTAGATACAGCGCGGTTAGTTTATTTTGGTTATTTTCACAGCATCATGTCATACGGTATTTTGTTGTGGGGGAATGCTGCTGACATCCAGTCTATTTTTGTTCTGCAGAAAAGGGCTATTCGATCAATCTATAATCTTAGTCCGAGGCATTCGCTCAGAGAATTATTTAAGGAATCTAAAATAATGACAGTTGCCTCTATTTATTTATATTTATGAAAATGTAATTCGCGCTCATAAAAACAAAAGCTTATTTAAGAAATATAGTGATATACATAATATCAACACGAGGGGGAAAAACAAATATGTTGTGCCTGCCTCCAGGCTTCAGAAAATAAGTAGTTCGTTTAGATGTCAATGTATACGCTTTTACAATAAAATTCCTAGCGATATTCAAAATTTGAGCCTCAATAAATTTAAAAGTGTAATAAAGGCTAAACTTTGCTGTAAAGCATTTTATAAAATAAAAGACTAGGTACTTAGAGGATAGTCAGGCTTGGGAATGAGCCGCTGTAATGTCTGCACAGGTCATGTTGACATGTTTGTAACATAAGTTACACTTTTATATACAATTTGACATTACGTTTATTTTTTTATACAATGACATGATCACCTATTGTGACATTTTTATTTTTTATTTGACATTTTTTTTTATTTATTTGTTGACATTTTTATTATTTTATATTATTGTTAGTGTAAGGACCGTATGAAACTTGTCGTGCTTTTTGATCACCAGTCATCTGCGTTCTGACAGTTTGAGTACTTGCGCGACCCACCCAAATGTTCTTTTGATCGGTATTGTTCGTCGGACAACTCAGCAGCACTAGCTATACTGGTTGCAAACTGATACTTGCGTGCCTGTCTTCAGAACGGGTCCACTTAAACTGGTGTGGTTCTTTCCTCAAAAGACCACTACAGAATGAACTTGCACGGTTCTCTCACATTATGTTATTTTATATTGTTTGGACTTGAAAAGAGACTGACCTCTGAGTTTGTTTCGGCATTTCTTCTCAGAGTAGTCAGATAGGAAATGCCGGCTTCATCTAGTTTTTCACATATAATTTGACGTGTAAAAGTGCCGTTTTATGGCTCCCACCTCATTCTTGCCCTAATTGGCTAGCTTGAGTGGAGATTCGCAAGAGTAGGAGTTGAAGGAGACTCGGGGGAAGGATGTATCTCAGTAAGGTGCTGGTAGGGGTCTTGACCGTACTCCCGGGATTGCTCTGATAGCCGTGGGATGCCTCTCCTTCACCAAGCAGCTCAACGTATGTTGCCCGCTTGTCGCTACATGCTAGCGGCCGTTTCCGGGGGCCCATTAATTGAGTTTGCTAGTCACTCCCTGCCTGTTTATCCGTATGTATCAATATTGGTCAGGGGCAGGGGCCATACTATTTCCATAGTTATCATATCCACCAGTCCATAGCAACCCGTACCCATAACCCTTCCAATTATTACCACATTTCGCAATAGTCCTGCATCAACCGGGGATTATCCTTGGGTGCACTTTCATAGTGCATACAGAGACAATTGCCGGCTGATGTCCCATTTCACTTATATTAAAGTTGTTCAACGGGCCGCTACGAGTTGGCTTCGGCCCCTCGTACGCCTCCCAAAGGTCCGGGATCCTGTGATCCCGTGAACGGAAACGAACATCTTTTATTTGAACTATGGCAAAGTTCATTGCAAGGCCAATGTGGTGCTGAAGCCGTTGGTAGCTTCTTCTATTCTCTTACAGAGCACAAATCTGCGATGGAGTTATATCTCAAGCTACCATTAACTGCTAGACAACGGACAAAATTCGTGGAATGCAACGTCAATTTAGAAAATTATACTCAGTAGAACAAATATTTTATTAAGTGCGGTCACATTTACTTTGTACCTACTAATACTTACCTATAGACATCTAGAATACGAAAATGACGTAATATGTAATACACAAACTTAAATCGATATTTATTTCTTTACTTCACCATTTATCTGAGCATGTTTTATAATATAAAAGTGCATAGTATAAAACAAAGTCGCTCTCTATGTCCATATGTCCTAGTATATACAAAATGATCATCAAACGATAATGTCCTTGCTTAAATCTTTAAAACTACGTAAAGATATTTGGTACCTACAGTTTATTTAATAGATAGAGAAATTGAAGAGGAAGGTTTATATGTATAATAACATCCATAAAATAGTAGAGAAGTGAGAAACTTAGTATTAGTATTGCATACGTGCAAAGCCGGGGCGGTTCGCTAATAGGTAATAAGTATATAAAATAAACAAGAAACAAATATCTACAAATATTTTGAAAGAACACACTTAATGTAATTACTGCTAACATTGACTTCATCTTGTCATACAACAATACTTCAATAAAAATAACCACGTTAATAAAAAAAGAAATTAGTAAGACAACTTCATTACTTTTGTGACGTATCATGTATGGTACAAGTACGAAAATAAATATTGCTTCAGTACAGAAACAGTAACCATTGTTAGGTCAATTTTAATCAAAATCTATTCAGGAGTTTTTGAATGTAAGAGTAACAATCATACATACATACTTATAAACTTCTCTTTCTTACTCCTCGCGTTTTTCTACAGGACATGGGAAGTACAACTACGGTCTACTCCTGACCTGTTTCGTGCTGATCATCGCCATGGGGATCGACATCTTCGGGCTGGGCATCATCGTGACAGCCTCCACCTGCGACCTCAATCTCACCCTCAGCCAGATTGGCATACTGTCTTCCATGTCTTTTGCTGGTAAGTTAAACTTATCTTAAAAAGATTTTTGAACTTATACTTGTGGAGTACTAATTCCTGTATTAGGTAATATAATAGGATAATAATAATGATAATCCCCAAAATGGCTGGCAACGCACTAAAAGTCAAAGTCAAAGTCGAAATCGTTTATTTCAACTAAACCATAAATAGGTAATTTTAAATCGTCAAAATAGAATAGTAGGTAGTCTGTCAGTCCGTTCGTCAGTGAAGCTAGGGTGCCAATCTCTAAACCCTTTTCATAAAATGTGTCTCTGTCTCTCTGTACTCGTAATCTGTTGTTGCGAGTGTCTAAGGGCGGCACCGCTTGCTTGCCATCACATAATCCGTTTGATCGTTGGCCGTCCTACCATATAAAATAAACAATTGTGTTATGAATCATTGAATCATTTTAAATTAACAGTAAATTGTAACCTAGATTCTTGCAATAATAATTAATCTAGGCGTTTTTAGTGATATGATCTTGTTTGTAACGCTACTAAAACGTAGCAAAGTCGCAAGAATGGATAAATATTTTATTTGACACTGTATTACAAAGGTTTTTTTTTATGGTACATACGAGCAGATGGATTAGACTGGTACACTCACGACATCTATCAAAAAAAGTTACTACTAGTGCATAAACGCATTTACCTTGCACGTGGGGGCGTTTGAAAAAATTTTGCTCCACCCAAAGTTTCGGCGAGGCTGTGCCATCACACCGGTCGAGCCGACCCATTCGATCCGAAACTTAGGTCTTCCACTCTTAAAATGGTCATAAAAATAACTGAATTATCTTGATTATAAGACACATTAGATAACATAAGTGATTTAACATTTTTTTTTTTCTCTATTTCCAGGTATAATAGTAATGTCATACCCTTGGGGCTACCTGTCTGACACAAGAGGCAGGAGACTAGTCCTGATGTGGGCCATGAGTGGTAGCTTCATCAGTTCAGCCATCAGCAGCCTGTCTCCTTCCTGGCAGGTGCTGGCTGCTTTGAGATTCATCAGCTCAGCACTGTGAGTATGGATTTATGAGATTTTATTGATAGCGCCTGTGACGTTTTTTATAGCAATACCTTAAGTTTATTTTTGGCTAATTGTTTTATGATGATATAAAATAAAAAGTTGAATACTAACGTTTAAACTTTCGCATTTCATATTTATTATTACGTATTAACGCGAAAATAATTTTCGAAATACCTTGGTAGGCTTGACGTTGCGACTTGGTTGCACAGGTCGTGGTCACAAGCAGACTAACTTTAGCAGTCTGCAAAACGTTGACACATTTTTACAATGCTCGTACATATACAACATAATTACTATTCAAATTTTTCTCTTTGTCACTCTGTTTCACTTTCTCAGAAGACAAAAGGAAATAATTTAGTCTGTAGTAGTTGGCTTTATGTGTTCTCAGTTCATTTTTATTTAAATACCTCCAATTTCACTCTACACTTTGTATTTTTACACTACTGAAAATAAAAAGCAGGATTAATCATTTACAGAAAAAAAAATATCTTTAAGAACTTACTGCAAAAATTCTCCATTCATAGTATTGGTTATTTCCTTTCACCAGGTCAAGTGCGGCAGAGTCGGCAACTTACGCCTTAATTGGAGAATGTTGCGGCGTGAAGGTCAGAGCCAAGTACATGCTGCTCATCACCAGTGCATTGATGATCACACCCACTTTGTATTATAGTAAGTAATTATATAGAGAAAGATAATATTTAAATAAATACTTCCGATCAGCCTTTAAGTACCTAATGCTGAAAAGGCTTTTCTCACATGGAGAGAATTAATTACACTATGTTTGCCTTTACCGTATGTGACGGTGTATAAACTTAGAACGTACAAATAAACTTAGAAAGTACATCATCATCATCATCATCATCAGCCTATAAGTGCTTACTGCTGAGCAAAGCCATCTTCTCACTCGGAAAATTTTTATTGATACCAGGGTACAAACCGACATCCTCATGCATTAGAAGCGTGTGCCTTAACCACTGGTCTTCACCACCTTTAATACCAGACTAATAAATAACGACTAAATACTTTCGATTTTCTTAAAATTAAATGAAACCCAAAAACAATACTGCCGTTAAGTTTTGCAATATTATTATGTAATTTTATAATTATTATTATGAAAAATAAATACATAAAATTTTGACTTCATCTACTGTATAATATTTCAAAATTAGAAAATATTTTATTTTATGTATAACTTTTATCGAAAGTATTAGTTATTCATTAGAAAATATATTTAAATTTGTAAAACTTTTTTTTTCAGTAACCGCTTACCTCATAATGAAGCTGGACTTCACATACTACCTCCTTGGCATTGTCTACCGACCCTGGCGTCTCCTGACCCTCATAATGGCACTCCCGCTGGGTCTTAGTGCCCTCCTGCTGTGGTACTTCAGCGAAAGTCCCAAGTTCTTGGCCAATGTAGGGAGAAACGAGGAAGCTGTCAAGGTGCTGAAGAGGATCTACGTGGCTAATGGACATGATGTGGATTCGTTTCCAGTAAGATTATTTTCAATTGAATCTCTCTTTGTTCCCTGCTTCATCTAGTTTTTTACATATAAATTGACGTGTAAAAGTGCCGTTTTATGGCCTATTTGCAAAAATAAATTCATTTGTGTGGCTCTAGAATTTTTTGTCATGCATTTTTTTCTGACTCATTAATACACTGACTGACTCGAATTATGAAGACATTATGCTAATATTAAGTTAATCTAGTTGCCTGATTGTATGGAATAGCAATTAATTGTCTATAAGGCACTTTGCAAGGTTGAAATGCGAATTGATTTCATATTTATTTTACCTCAGTTCACTTTAATTTCTCGCTTATTTTACTGAAAGGTTCGTTACTGATACATATGTAAAGGTACACAGACCAATACACATGTATCAAACACAACATAGTTTTCATTATTATACCTTGGTACTAATTAAGTTACGAATGAGTCTATTGTAATAAATAAATATAGTGATCAAAATAAATACTTTTTCTTCTTTCTAGATAAAACAAATCTACCTAGAGGACGGCAATAAGGAGGAAGTAGGAGTGTTCTCCCTCCACTCCCTCTGGGTTCAAATTGCTCCTCTCTTCAAACCGCCTCTGCTTTGGAAGACTGCCTTATTGTACTACCTCACCTTCGTCACATACATCGCGTAAGTTTAATTATTAACTTAAAAAAAGAAATTCCATGTCTTGTATGTATGTATATGTATATTCATTGCCATTTCTTGTATATGCCTATAATTTGTATTCAATCCATTAAAGCTGCTACGTACGACTGCCTATCGTAAGGAAGATCAGTCTGCCACTTCTTTATATTTCCTTTAAACTCTTGATAATAATCAGATTTAAATCGACAGTTTCTTTGGGAATCTTTAAACATTCTTTCCAAAGAAAAACTTAAAACAACTACAGTCAAATTAGTCACATTTCCGTTTTTAAATTTAATTTCATCATTTTTAATTCCACTTACAGTAACAACAGCTTCGCGATCATCCTGCCGACAATCTTCAACATCTTCTTTACGTCGTACGCCACCAGTGCAGCTGATGCCTCCTTCTGCGACCTGTTCCATCTGAGCAATACTACTACCACTGCCGTTGAAATGGTCAGTTGAGTCAGTGTATCATTTTAATAATAATCTTAGTTGCTTTTAAAAACAAACTCTCACAGTAGTCTAAAACGATACACGGATGGTCAAGGGTGAGCGTTCGAAACCTGACAAGTCCCAATGTGACTTTTTCCAAGTTGTACGTATGTACTTTAATATGATTAATTAGAACCCCTGACAAACGATGAAGGAAAACATCGTGAAGGAACTGTACTTACTTTAAATCGCCAATCCTCCTTGAGCGCAGAAGAAGCCATCTTTACTTAGCAATGGGCATAATATATTCATATAATGTCATCTTCCCCCGTTGCTTTTTTCTGATAGTGACCTTTTTCCAGGAGCCGACTACCTGTAAGAACAGTATCGAAGACAACACTATCTGGGCCGGCTGCGCGCATGGAATGTCTTTCTTCTTGCTCAACGCTCTCATCTCACAATGTGCTGGAAAGAGAAAGGTAATTGTTTTTATAATAACTATCGTGATTAGTTAATTTAGAAAGGTAATTGTTACAAGTTACTTATATAGCTGCAAATAAAATTGAACGCCATCTTGATCTTTGTTTACCTTTATTAGGTATTTAGATTAGAATTGGGTTCAGGATGATTTACTAGTACCCCTTTTTTTCGAAGAAGGAAAGAAGAAGGTTGCCATCGCCCTAGGTAAGGTGAGAGGGAGTGTCAGACTCTTGCTGACTTACCCCGAAATTACATTACCCCATCCTCTCTTCTTCTGCTACGAACCGGGACCGCGTTATCTAATTGGCTATTGAGCTTGACCTGCAATCCCAGCTTGGTTGCATCTACCTCCCTCCATGAAATTTAAGTTCACAACAAAATCATTTCTTGTTTGGTTTGTGCCCTTACATTGGGATTTGTGGGTGAGTGAGTGAAAACAATGTGGGAGAGCCATGTTTCGGCACGAATCATCGCCTATAATGCCATGAATGGGTCAGCTTGACCGGAGTGTACCACGGCCCCACAGAAAACCGACGTGAAATAACCACAGCGTTGTGTTTCGCAGTGTGAGTGAGTTTATTACAGGCCCAATCCCTAAATACCCAAACAATGCACTCGTAATTCTTCCGTTGTTGCGGGTGTCCATGGGCGGCGCTGATTGCTTACCATCAGGTAATCAGTATGCTAGTTTGCCATCCTGCCTGCATAAAAGAAATGTAAAATGTGTGGTGAATCACACAATTTGTCACGCGTATTACGCATGTCGTTATTTTTTATTATTATTAAAATGTATATAATTATTTTAGTACAATTTCTCACAAAACCGGTTAAGCTATTGTGACAGAAAACTCTTTGACATCATGACGTCAATGGATGGTTGTCAAACGTTGCCTAGAGATTGTAAATTTCGTCGTGAATTGTCAACACGAGTTGGTGTAATCGGTAAGGCGTGTGGATTACACCACAGAGACCCCGAGTTCGAGACCCGCCGTAAACATGAAGTTTTTTAGTTGATGGAAGTTTTGTCGAACTTTCTGGAATATTTGAGTGAAAGTAATGAAAAATTAAGGAGCGAGAAGGAGAATAAATAAAAATGAATAACGAAATTATTGGAAGGTTCTGGAGGCATGACGATCAAAAAGAATAACGAAATTGAATGTTCTAGAACCTGACCAGGGGTATATAAGCGGAACTGCGGCTCACCGCTGGCAGTTGAGTTCTAAGTCCAAAGCGATTCGGAAGAAAAGGAAGAAGTGAAAAGAAGAAAAGTGAGTGAAATAGTGAAGTACAGTGAAATAGTGAAGTGCAGTCAGTTAAGTGAGTTAAGTCAGCGTGAACAGTGAACGGCAAAGTTGTGTCAGTCGGCCGGACTCTGCTGGAGAGGAACGCCGATAACTTATCCGTATCCGTGGACGCTGTCACTTAAGTGCAATAGAAAGTCTGAAAACCGGTATTAGTGTTTAATTTCATCCAATCCCGTAACCCAAGCCCGCATAGTTAGGAACGTGACGTCAGGCACGTAACATTTGGTGTCAGAAGTGGGATTGGAGAAAAATGCCGCTAGTGCCGCAGGACGTAAGAGGAGTGAGTACCCGTGCTATGTCAGAAGCGCAGCGTGTGAGAGAAGAGGGTGCTGCAGCTCAAACCAGCGATGCAGAAGCCAAGCCTGTGCAGGTGGATCTTCTGCTACAGCTGCAGCAAATGATGGCAGAACAGCTGCGGGAGCTGAAAGAAGATCAAGCGCGCCGCCAAGAAGAGCAAGCACGCTGTCAGGCAGAACAGCTGCGGGAGCTGAAAGAAGATCAAGCGCGCCGCCAAGAAGAGCAAGCGCGCCGCCAAGAAGAGCAAGCGCGCCGCCAAGAAGAGCAAGCACGCTGTCAGTCAGGACAGCTGCGGGAGCTGAAAGAAGATCAAGCTCGTCGCCAAGAGGAGCAAGTGCGTCGCTTGGAAGACATGCATAAAGATTTCACGAAGGGACTGCAAAAGGCTGTCAAACGGGTACAAGAAGTGGAGGAAGGTTTAGGCAAGTTGGAACATCGCGTCATGGCGATAGAGGAGAGATTGGAAGAAGAGATCTCCAAAATCAAGCAGGAAGTGACAAACCCAAGCCCTTTAAAGAGCCGAAGCCGTCTTGCAGCCGTTTTTTGACGCCCCAAATGCGGCCTTAAGCGCAACGAAAGGGCTCAAGATTCCCCATTACGACGGAACAACATCCTGGACCGCGTTCAAGCTACAGTTTGAGACACTTATGGAGGCTTATGGTTGGACTCAGAAGGAAGCACAGTCAGCCCTCACCCTGGCCCTCCGTGATCAAGCGCTCTCAGTGCTGGAAGCTATCGGCGCAAGTGGAGATCTCAGCTTTAGTGCCCTCCTCGACGCACTTGAGGCACGTTTTGGAGACAGCCACCTCGAGCACGTGTACAGAGCGCAATTAAAAGAGCGTACTCAGCGTGATAATGAGAGTCTACAGCAATGGTCCGTGGAAATCGAGAAACTTGTGCGTCGAGCTTTCCGGTCGACTCCGTCAATGATTGAAGGCACGCTTCTCCAAGCGTTCATTGACGGTATTCGGGACCCCGAAGTACGAGATGCTGTTCATCTGGGCCATAACAAGAACATGAAAGAAGCTCTGGCCCATGCATTGGAAGTGGAAGCCGTGCGTGGCAACTCCCGTACCTTACGTCTGCGGGAAATGACGACAACGGAGCAGGTACCTCCACGCCGTCGGAACTTCATGTGCTATGGATGTGGAGAGCGTGGGCACATACGGAGCGACTGCCCGAAGAAGATGAACCGCAAGGACGCGGCGGTCTCAACTTCTGACCAGCAGGGAAACTTAAATCCAGCCAAGGCTGCGGGGTGGGCGCTGGCTGGTAGTGGAATAACCCCAACAATCTACATCAAGCAAACTAACGATGGAAATACCCTGGTGATAGACGGTCAAGTAAATGGGAAAAAACAGTCAGCTAACATTAGATACTGGAGCTTCAAGGACGGTGATAAATGTTCGGCTGCTCGAGCAAAACATCAGGAAACACCTTAAACCAATTGTTGGCCTACAAATGAAATCAGCTACCGGCCAGTGCATACCGATAAGTGGAAAACTGCATGTAACAATCAAAATTGGGGAACGTGTTTATCGACATGAGGTTATTGTGGCCGAAATTCTGGATGACTGCATCCTGGGACTTGACTTCCTGCAAGGGCACCAGTGTAACATCGACTTAAAATCTGGAGTATTACTATGTGGAACTGAGGAAATTCCGATGAAGGGTGGAACCCTGGGAAAAGTTTGCTGTTTAAGAAGAACTGTTCTTGCACCAAAATCACAGACTCTCGTACCAATCGCATTACCTAGGAGGAGGGAAGGAAGTTTACCTCGAAGGTGCGCTGTGATTGATAAATCGGAACACGTGAATTCATGGCTACCGGCAAGAACTGTCGTGGGGTCATCTGATGTTAACCGCATTCCGGTATTCAACTTCAGTGATTCAGAAATTACGATTGAAGAAGGAGAGCCTGTGGGCGTATTGGAAGAAGTGGCCTGGATAAGAAAATGCTCGGAAAATCTTGTGAAGAAGGACAGTACGGGAATAGACTTTGTAACGAAAATCTTAGACGAAAACAAAAGTCTGACAAAAGTGGAGACTATGAAAGCTAGAAATTTACTTCTTCGATTCTCTGATGTGTTTTCAAGAAGCGATGGTGATATTGGCCGAACTGGTTTGGTGAAGCATAAAATAAACACAGGTGATACAATGCCAATTCGTCAAAGGCCCAGACGTATACCATTCGCTCGTGAGAAAGAAGTTGAAGAAATGATTGACGATATGAGGAAAAATGACGTGATAGAGCCCTCTTCTAGCCCTTGGTGTTCACCTGTCGTGCTTGTCAAGAAGAAAGATGGTTCAACGAGGTTTTGCGTAGACTATCGACGATTGAATGATGTAACCAAGAAGGATAGCTACCCGTTACCAAGAATCGATGACACACTTGACACACTGAGTGGCATGAAATGGTTTTCAACGCTCGATCTGAAAAGCGGCTATTGGCAGGTGGATTTGGATCCCAAGGACAAGGAAAAGACCGCATTCTCAACTGGGAAGGGACTCTGGCAATTTAAGGTGATGCCATTTGGATTATGCAATGCACCGGCAACCTTTGAGCGTTTGATGGAACAGGTGCTGGCGGGACTGCTGGGCGAAACTTGCCTAGTTTACCTCGATGACATCATCATTGTTGGACGGGATTTTGACGATCATCTAAGGAAATTGGAAAAGGTACTCGATAAGCTGCGTGGAGCAAATTTAAAGTTGAGTCCAAAGAAATGCTCTTTCTTCAAGCGCGAAGTGAATTATCTAGGACATGTTATTTCTGAGAGAGGAATTGAGACTGATCCAGCCAAGACTGCCGCTGTTAAGGAATGGCCGACACCTAAAGACAAAACGCAAGTTCGGGCATTTCTTGGATTGTGCTCGTATTATCGGCGGTTTGTGAAAGGATTCTCGGACATTGCCAAGCCTTTGCATCGATTGACAGAGGAGAAACGTGCCTTTATCTGGGACGAGGATTGTGAGCAAGCCTTTCGAGAACTAAAAGAACGGCTTTGTAACACACCAATTCTCGGATACCCCAGCGCGAAAGGAATATTCGTAGTTGATACGGATGCCAGCAATATTGGAATAGGAGGTGTCCTTTCACAACGCGATGGTGAGCAGGAGAAGGTTATTGCTTACTTCAGCAAGTCACTATCCAAGCCGGAGAAGAATTATTGCGTGACCAGGAGGGAATTGCTGGCCGTAGTCAAAACTCTGCACCATTTCAAGAAGTATTTACTGGGACGGAAATTTTTGATCAGAACTGATCACGCTGCTTTGAAATGGCTACTTCAGTTTAAGGATCCCGAAGGCCAAGTAGCCAGATGGTTGGAACAAATTTGACTTTGAAATCGAACATCGCGGCGGAAGAATTCATGGCAACGCAGATGCATTATCGAGACGCCCATGCGTGGAAGATTGCAAGCATTGTGCCAAGAAGGAAACTGCTTTTCTTAAGGTGATAAGGACTGATACTGTTGACGAGGCATGGGGAGACGATGCGATGAAATTAGAACAGGAAAGAGATGCAGATATCAAACCAATACTGGAGTGGCTACGAAGTGGTAACAAGCCAAGTTGGAGTGACGTCGCCCAATATAGCGCGGTAACGAAAGGTTTATGGGCACAGTGGAAAAGCCTTACGCTGCATAACGGACTTCTGTGCAGGAAATGGGAATCAACAAACGGCAAGGACGAGCATTTGCAATTGGTGGTACCTCGTTCAAAAATAAGGGATGTATTAAAAGCGTTCCATGATGGATCTTCTGGAGGACATTTGGGAATTAGGAGGACTTTGGTGAAGATCAAGGAGAGGTTTTATTGGTTGCATTGCAAATATGACGTCGAAGATTGGTGCCGGAAATGCACTAGTTGTGCAGCTGTCAAGGGTCCACAAACAAGAAGCAGAGGGGCGATGAAAATCTACAATGTTGGTATGCCTTGGGAGAGAATAGCCTTAGACATCGCTGGACCATTTCCAATCACTGATTCGGGCAATCGCTACGTTTTAGTGGTTATGGATTATTTTACAAAATGGCCGGAGGTCTTTGCCATACCGAATCAAGAGGCAGTAACTGTAGCCACGAAGTTGGTAAACGAGGTATTCACCCGATTCGGAGTGCCCTTGGAGATGCACAGTGATCAAGGACGGAACTTTGAATCCCAAGTTTTCCAGGAAACTTGTAAACTTTTGGGAATCCATAAGACTCGAACGACCCCTTATCATCCACAGTCAGATGGAATGGTCGAACGCTTCAACCAAACATTGGAGCGACACTTAGCAAAGGTGGTTGACAGCCATCAGAGAGATTGGGACACTTACATACCTCTCTTCTTGCTTGCCTATCGGACTGCTGTACATGAAAGTACCGCAAAGACGCCTGCATTTGCAAATTTTGGAAGGGAATTGAGATTACCGGCAGATCTTGTATCGGGCTGTCCACCTGGTGACTCTCGCACCGAGTTTAGCGATTACATAAGCGAGTTAAGGGCAAAAATGTTGGACATTTATGAGCAGATCAGGGAGGCCGGTCTTCAAGCTAGTGATCGCGCAAAGACGCGCTATGATCGACGAGCCAATTCTGTTGGGTTTGAAGAGGGGTCATTGGTCTGGCTTCATAATCCAGTCAGAAGGAAGGGAAAATCTCCAAAGCTGCAACCGAGTTGGGAAGGTCCTTACGAGATAGTCACGAAGATCAATGACATTACTTACAGAATTCGGAAGTCTTCAAGGAGCCCTTTGAAAGTTGTCCATATAGACAGGTTGGCGAGGTATTACGGCAGCAACGATGCTCGGGACGAGCGAATCTAAGAGGGGGGCAGTGTGACAGAAAACTCTTTGACATCATGACGTCAATGGATGGTTGTCAAACGTTGCCTAGAGATTGTAAATTTCGTCGTGAATTGTCAACACGAGTTGGTGTAATCGGTAAGGCGTGTGGATTACACCACAGAGACCCCGAGTTCGAGACCCGCCGTAAACATGAAGTTTTTTAGTTGATGGAAGTTTTGTCGAACTTTCTGGAATATTTGAGTGAAAGTAATGAAAAATTAAGGAGCGAGAAGGAGAATAAATAAAAATGAATAACGAAATTATTGGAAGGTTCTGGAGGCATGACGATCAAAAAGAATAACGAAATTGAATGTTCTAGAACCTGACCAGGGGTATATAAGCGGAACTGCGGCTCACCGCTGGCAGTTGAGTTCTAAGTCCAAAGCGATTCGGAAGAAAAGGAAGAAGTGAAAAGAAGAAAAGTGAGTGAAATAGTGAAGTACAGTGAAATAGTGAAGTGCAGTCAGTTAAGTGAGTTAAGTCAGCGTGAACAGTGAACGGCAAAGTTGTGTCAGTCGGCCGGACTCTGCTGGAGAGGAACGCCGATAACTTATCCGTATCCGTGGACGCTGTCACTTAAGTGCAATAGAAAGTCTGAAAACCGGTATTAGTGTTTAATTTCATCCAATCCCGTAACCCAAGCCCGCATAGTTAGGAACGTGACGTCAGGCACGTAACACTATTTAACTGATTGTGTGAATGTTAACTCTGCCCACCCATTGGGGGAAAAGGTGCGATGCTTTATTATTTTATGATCAAAGATTACCTATTCTCAATGGTATAATGCTCGGAATAATTATCAATTCGTGATGAAGACTCACTTAAAAACTAAAAAAATGGCACAAAAACATTTTATAAGTACTACTTGAATGACGTGTTTTATGTGGCCTAAAAAGTTTATAGGTAGGTAGATTACATATCTACCTATAAAATATAACATTTAAAATAATAATAACACATCATCAGTCCATAAAGTGCTTACCGTACCGGACAGACAAAGGATACTCACACGAAGAAGGTTTGAGCATTAGTCACCACGCTTGCTTAAGACGGAAAGGCGATTTCAAACTTATAAATTATAAGTCCAGGGTTCCTCACGATCAGCCGGGGTTGCGGGATAAGCGCAATGAGTCACCGCGACCTCGGCCCAGAGCAGGAGAAGGAACGGGGTTTTTTATTCAGTAAGAGTCTGACATTCTCTCTCGCCTAACCCTGGGCGGGAGAAGTCATTTAATGATTTTCCCCTGACAAAAAAAGGTTTCCTCACGATGTTTTCCTTCGCCGTTTGCTAGTGGTGTCTAAATAATCACAGAAAGTATCCACGTATAATTCGGAAAAAGTAACATTCACATTGGTACTAGCCAGATTGCGAACTCGAACCCTCATTCAGAAGAAGAAGGAAAGTGTAGGGCCTTTGACCTCTTTGCCACCACGATTGAGTGATTATTACTGATATACCGATTACAAAAAGGACTACGAAATCAAGCCCAAAGAATAATTTATTAAACTAGTTTACTAATACAACCTTTACACTTTGCAAAACGGATTGTTATTATGTAATCGGGTCCAAACTACGACCGGTCGCCGACCATTAGTTCTACTGACCCTATATTCGATTAGTCACCTTGAAACGAGTTTTGCAAAATATTAAGGCTTAAGTAATGGCTATTAAAATATAATGTAGTGTGTACGGTAAGCGAGCTGACGGATTACCTGATGGTAAGCAATCAACGCCGCCCATGGACAGACGCAATCACGGAGGAGTTACAAATCCGTTGCCGATCATCGGTAACTTTTTACACGAGTTAAGCCGATCAATCTCATGCCATGCAAGGGGCTTATATACACAAGAAATATCAAATGACGTGAAGCGATAGAGAGAGGAGAGAGAGAGAAAGAGAGTGATATTTACCTTCTACAATATTATTAATAAAAATCATTAATGACGCATGATATGTAACTAAATATTTTTCTTCAACAGCCGATGACCATCATCATCCTGCTAATAGCTGCCGCAGCGGGCGCTGGCATCAACAACACGGGTGAAGCCATATCAGGGCTGGTCCTCTTCTACATATTCCTCACCACCGCCATGGTCTTCGGAGTCATTTCCTCGTACTTCGTGGACTTGTACCCAACGTCTTATAGGTGAGTGTTCTTTTCCAAAAAATGGTAACCATATTAATTTTTTATTCGATATATAAATGAAATGATGAAAAAAAATGTAAATGATGATGAAGACTTCGATGAAGTACACCGTACATAAGCAACCTACATATTCATTCGGGAAACAATGTGAAGATTGTAAGTTTTAAGGAGTATGGCCAAGTAGGTGCCAAGTGCCTCTGCCAAGTTTAGTATTCTGGGTAGGGGAAAGTATTATTGGGTACTTCTTTCTCCATCATTTGTCATCTCTTGCTCCGACAATCCTCGGGCACAGGAAGCGAAGGTATGAGGTCGTCAAGCAAGGATAGCTCGCCGCCCGACCAGAAACAGACCCGAGTGTGCGCGCAGCGTTACTTGAGACCCCACAAATAGACTATGGACTACAGATCGAGCCCAACAGGGCCAGGAACAGGAGAAGATATAGGGGTTTCTTAGTTAGTAAGAGTCTGACACTACCTCTCGCCATACCCAGGGCGAGAGAAGTCACTTGACACTCTATTGACATCTACCGAAAATTTTCCCTAACTGGTTCTTTTAGGTAAATTATCTTTGATCTTTGGGATCTCTTACCTAATTTATTCCTTTACTTCAAACCTTATAGAAGAAAAAAATTAAGAACCATGTGTCTCGCATGTTGTAATGCCTGTTTTTTCCGAAACTTTTATTATAACTAGTGAAAATAGATTTTAAACAAACATGTCATCACCTTTCTGCCCACCTACTCATTAAGTACCGAAGCTGTATTACATTATAATTAACCAAAGATCACGGAAACACTGAGGGTTTTACCACCAACTTGATTGATTATTCCCATACTGCGTACACGATTGGGCGTCACGATAGCTCGGTCCAAACTTCAAAAACAAAACGATTTCGATGTCAGTCTTCAATGCCTATAAATTTACTGCCATTAAATAATATTACAAGGTGGAAAGGTCAGGTTTTTGCTGTTTATTAGTTTGATTGCCGTGGAATTGAATATTTAAAGAGATTTATTATTTCATATGACACTTCCAAACTTTGACTATTTTAAAGTTCAAATTGAAATATAAGTTTAGGTTTCCTCGGTATAGCCGGGGTCGCAGGGTTAGTGCAATAAGATACCGGGGGTCAGACTAAAACAGGAGAAAGAACGCTGGAGTTTTTAGTCAATAAGAATCCGACACTGACTGATCCTCTCGCCTCACCCAGGGCGAAACAAGTAATTTGATGATTTTGCCCTCACAAAAAGGGACCCTCTGTATGTATTCCTTGATCACATTATTATGTCAGTGGTGTCTAAACAATCTAATAAAGTACTTATAAGCCGAATAAAGTTCCATTCGGATTGTGAAATCACATCATAAAGGAGGCCCTAAACACTGGTCACAACGATATTAACGAATTACTATTGTTATATTGAATTTATTTACATCATAATATAATCTTCATAATATATTAAATAACCTATGAACATACAACAACCTCAAAACAATGAGTTAATTAAATAATTTTAATAGTTTTTTATGGTACACATTAAGTCCGTCTAGCCGCGAGTTATTTCAAAAAATTTGACACTACAATGTCGTTTGACGTGCATGTGTAAAAAGTCGCACGCTAAGCTACGTCTGGTTAACTTATTTTAATATTAATGGGTGCTATAAGTTGTATTATAAAAACTAATTACGAACTTATAAAATTACTAGTAGCGGCCCCTACTTTACACAGACACACTACCTAGGTAATCTACCCGTCAATCATTTGTTTCGTTATCAAATCAATCACTAGGTACGATGCCAAAAGAGTTAACCATGTAAAAAAACCCGACTAAATGATGTAACAAAGAAATGAATTGTAAAACTGATTTAAAAAGTGTAACCATGGAGTTTCTTGCTCGTTCTTCTCCATAGGAATCTACACTTTGGAACGAGCAAATAGCTTCACTAGAGGACAGACTGACACGCTTAAAGTTAAAGCTTTTTAAAAACTTTTTTACTTTTTTTTGTTTGACGTTCAAAAGTGCCTGCTGTGGTCTAATTGAAATAAATGATTTTGACTTTTTTGACTTGACTTTTGAGTTGCTATTTCCATATTTTAGGTACCCTGAGTTCTACTAATATTCCCTTTCATAAGAATTTGAGAAACATAAAAATAAAAGAATTAGCGAAATCAGTTTATCTGTTTTGAGATCTGCCGTTAGCAAGATATTTAGCAATTCATTTTTATATTAAAGAAAATAAACATTGATCTACATAATAACTCTTATTTTAACAAACTAAAGGGATAAAATATACATGCAAAAATATTATACATATATATTTATAATGTATTAAATTAAATATAATACCAACTATCCTCCAGGTGTTAATTATTTGCTCCATGTAATTGGGGGTGGGCCAATTGCCATCAAAGGTGGAGAAGAAGGAACGGGAAAGTATAGTCAGTAAGAGTCTGACACACCCTCCAGATAGAAGTCATTTGAAAAAGTCTCAATAAAACTACATTCATACTGAAAGCGTAACCTCTTACAATTTACAACGATCCCATAAAATTCAAACAGATTTGACAAATTTTATTCCACATAGGGCTGATTTTTCAATAGTCAGATAATGGTATCTGATGAATAAAATTGTTGCTGTCACTGTCTTATACAAACATTCTGACGCGACAGTGTCATAATCAGAATTATTACCCTGATAACTTTTATCTCACCATTGAAAATCAGCTCTTAGAAAAGGAAGACAATGTCTTTCTGTCTTTGTCATTTCGGGTCTGACGTCACTGGCGTGTCATTTGTTTTTCAGTAAGCTCCTATTTAAACACAAGAAAGAGAACACCATATCTTTATGTCCTCTTCATTTCGGGTCTGACGTCACTGGCATGTCATTTGTTTTAGACTCAGTTAATATTATTATTTCAATGAATGAAAGAGAACACCATATATTTCTGTATTCTTCATTTTGGGTCTGACGTCACTGGCATGTCATTTGTTTTTGACTTAGTTCATATTATTATTTAAATTAGCTGTGCCCCGCGGTTTCACCCGCGTTTTTGTCGTTTCCGTGGAAATACCGAGATAAAATATTGCCTATATTATAGCCTCCCTCAATAAATGGACTATTGAATATTTAAACAGTTTTCATAATTATCAGATCAGCATTTCCCGAGATTACCGCCTTCATAACAAACAACCAAACTTTTCATGTTTAGGTATAATATTAAGAAAAATATAGATTAAGATAAATTGTATAAGTCAAGTAAGCAATAGCTGTTTATCTGTTCGAAATTCAGCCAAAGTAAGAATTACGACTACAGGCGGGAGTGTCCGTCCACTTTAAACCGGGTTCAAATATCATTTTAAAGTACTTCTGAGTAAATTATATTTTTTGTTTTATTTTCTGAATTGGATTAAAATGTAAAGGCAAATCATTTGGAATCATTAAGATCCGAGGTTTAAATACTGTTTGACCAACCATTGGACCAGTCAGAACTATTATTGCAACTATCACGTTATTGCGAACAAATTTAACCTAAAGTCTCCCGTTACATAAATTTCTAAGTAAAATAATGGGGCACCAATTTTTAACTTGAGAGAATGTGATGGGATGCCCCTCGGGTTTAAACAATGAAAATATCCCTGTAGATAATGGACTGCATATTCTTGATCCATTGGAAGTTTAGTTAAAATTAAATCGTTAATTTTGTCAACACTACTTTACTCTACTGTACACACTTTAGGATTCTCTCCTGTGTTGTGGGTGCGTTTACAAACATACAATGTCACATACGCATGACACCCAGACCCGAAACAACAATTTGTGGATCATACAAAGTGTTGTTCCGTGCGGGAATCGAACCCGCGACACGTTGCACGGCAGCCAGTTGCCCGGCCACCGCACCAACTGTGCACACTTCCATTGATAATCTTTATTTTCTATTTGAACGATACCTTTTCATATTAAACTCTCAATGCTAGTCTTTTTTTCTACTAAATCTTGATCAATAGGTATTTTATTTTCAAAATAAGGTACTTTTCCGTCTCCAACTAAAAGTAACTTCAAAGGAAAATTTGTACTACCACCTCCCAAATATGCTCTCATGTCCGTAGATAGTTTTAAGGTATGAACAAATTTCCATAATAGAGAACTTTTAAGGCAATTTAAAATTACAATGTCTACTTTAGTGCCTCTTACTACTACTGGTAAAGTTTGCCGAAAATCCCCAGCAAACATGACAGTAATCCCAACCATGATTTTATCACAGTCTCTAATATCTATAATAGTCCTATCTAGAGCCTCCACATGAGCTCTATGAATCATGGTACATTCATCCCAGATGATTAAAGTGACATTTTACAAAACTTTGCCTTAAAGGCCATTTTTACGAATAGAGCACACGCTCTTTCTGTAACGGAACGGTTAGGTTATGTTAGTTTAAAAGTGTAATGAGCTGTGCGTACGCCAGCTAATATAGTAGCAGCGATTCCAGATGACGCTACTGCCAAAGCTAGTTTTCCCTGAGACCTTACTTTTGCTAATATCATATTAGTAGCTAATGAAAGTTTTGCCGGTTCCGCCTGGAGCATCCAAAAAATATTTTTCCCTCATTGAAACAACACTGAGCATAACAGTATTGTTTGCCATTACCTGGTCATTAAAGAACTTGGGTGCATTTACAGTAATATACTCATTTAATTCATTTACATCGTATTTCTTCCGGTACGACATTTCCAAATTAAGATTTATGTTTTTCCTTGGATTTCCTTTTCCTTAGCAGAGTTAGTTTAGAAATGTATTTCTTATACTCTTCAAACATCTTATACTTACAATCATCAACAAATATATTACGAAAAATATTAAAACAGGATTTTATGTTGATAAAAAACTCTATGGTCCATAACTCATTAATAAGGTACCAACTCTTAACATCTTACACACATGATAACTTTTAAACGATTGAGAGATTAAATAAATACTCTTGATAACATAATGCATAATTCCGAT